GTGTGTGTGAGAGGAGTGTGTGTGTGTTGTGTGTGTGTGTGTGAGGAGTGTGTGTGTGAGCTCGTGCGCGAGAGTTTGTGAGTGAATGAGTGTGAACAGTTGTAGCGTGTTCGCGTGAGTGAAGTGCGAGTTAGAATGTGTGTGCGCGTACCGTCTGTGCTCTTGGGTGTGTGGGAGCTGTGGGTCCGTAGGATTTGCTTTGAACAAATAGATTACCCCCGTAATTAAACGCTTTCAGTCTCCGCGGCGCTCCTATGGTTCAGATTTAGAGCCTTTTTTTTTCTAATTTTAAAAAAGTGCGTATGATTTTTGTCTTTTTAGAAAAATTGAAGAAATGTTATTTTGGTTTTTTTTAACCAAAAACAAAAAGAGAAAAAATAGGGGGGCGGATTCTAACAGTTGACGTTTTCCAATCCAACGATTTCATTCCACCTGCTGGCCCGTTTTAAACGCGATACGATACCGCTAAAACCGATCTCCATATATGGTCAAAAACCGTGACACAAATCCCAGCAATAAAGTTTGTAAGGGACTTCTAGCTAACGCTTTCAGAGATAAAAATAAATATCATAAAAAATATGTGTATTTGTTTTTTTTAATATATCAAAAAGACACCTTGTTTTCAGGTCTCTTGGTATGTATTTAATAACTATGTATTTACAAACATATGATAAATTTTTTTTTTGCAGTTTGTTGTTTTTGTTTTTTTGTTCGTTGTTTGTTTAAAAAAAAAACACTATTCGCTTTATTAGTTATTTTTGTTAAAAAAACAGAAAAACAAAAACCAAAAACAAAAAAAAACAAAATATAAAGAAAATATGTAAATATTTTCAAAAGGCTATGGAGAAATATATTCTCAAAATACTGAGCGAATATTCAACAATATCTCATATACAATCGCGTATGAATTTCTAAATTCTCATGAAATATAGGGCTCCAATATTTCATAGGAAATATACCAAAATATACCTGAATATTTATTAGGGCTGTATTTTCTCTATATTTCTTTAAGTTGGCCAATCCGGCCTTAGAAGGCTCTGTGTATATTTGATACGATTTCTGTTTCCGATAGTTCACAATCAATAGTTCAAACCAGAGGAGACTGGAACAATAGAGGATTTGAAGAATATGAAGAAAATTATCTCACATGAAAGTTCTTTCTCACCTAGCAGTATCGAGAGTCATGTTGTGGATATTTGCAGAGATAGTAGTCGTTCAGCGAACAATAATGCTACAGGATTGTGTTCGGGGGCGGTAATAGCAGAAGGACACTACGCTGTAACACCAGAAGATGGCGCCTCGAGCGCGGCTCAGTATTTGGGCTGGTGGAGCCTGTTGGTGGACGTTATCACATGGTCGACAGGGTTTACAATTTTCATGGTAGCGACACAAACGGCGGATGACCACTCGAAAGGAACGAACAACGCGGTAATCCGATTTCCATTAACGCTCACTCACTTAACTTTGCAGTTCATAGTTTGGATGTTATTAGCTATATTCTTGTACTGGGCTAGAGAAGAGCCTGAGATTAGTACAAAAAACAAGTACTTTTTAGTACAAGTCACACTTTGCAGCGGTCTTCTAATTTTGTCACGCTTCTTTGGATTATTGATGGAGCATCAATACATACCTAGCGATATATACTCAAACACCATTATCAGTGGCTTTGGTATCCAAGCATACTATGGTCTTATCTCTGCTATTTTACTTAGATTAAGGCTGATATACAAAATTTTTGCAAGGAATGATTTCCATCCGGTATATTGTACTGGCTTGCTCTACCACATACCCCTCATCGCTATTTCCGCCGTACCACTCTACGTATGCAACTTTTCATCGCTTAAATGCAGCGTCACAGTTTACTATATGGGGAGCTGGATAATTTGGTCATTTTACATGGCGGAATTCGCATTCTATTTATGGCATGTGCGACCAGTGCCAGGCCTCTTTGTGGACTTTGGCAGCAATGTTCGCATATATTGTTTCATATTCGGTACATTCATCGGCGGTACGATTTATACATTCTATGAGGGTCAGCCTTTGGTGATCAGAGATCTGTACTATTTCATGTTTCCCTTTGGCATCTACATTGCCTTGTTTGAAACCTTTGGACTCATTGCTTTCAAGGTTTTAGGTCGCAAATGGGGCACACATTGGCTCAAGGATGTTTGTCTACAAGGGGTGGCGGGAACTTTTCTCAGCACGAAGCGGAAAACGATGGACTTTGTATTGTCAGACCCCTTCGTGTTACAAAAACTGCAGAATTTGGCCAAACAGAGGCAGTTCGAGGAGTCTGTAGCAGGCTTGATAGAATGCAGAGCGATTGCGCGCGAAGTTGGCAAAGATAATCTCCGTGCAGCCGGGCATATGATAGAGCAGTGGATGAATAAACATGTCACGGGTGACGATGTTAGTCAGCATATAAATATTAGCGCCACCAATCGTAGTGCGCTGCTCAAAGAGGCGGAGAGGGTTCATGATGCAGGGATAGCAACGAAGGAAATGTTGGAGGCACTCTTAGAGGCTGAACAAAACATTATTTTCATGCTTCGAGCACATGTTGTTACCCTGTTCAACACAGAAGAGGTAGTACAATACTGCTTAAGGTTGCTCGCGCTTATCAAAGTGGGACTCCTGATAAGTGAAGGGGGAAAAAACATCACGAGTGGGACTAAGGCCAAGACTGTCAATATCCCGACAGACACTACTCATACCATAGCTGCGTTCTCGAAAACTGAATAACAGCTTCGAATTAAACTTCAAGGCCGGAGACTGTACAGTACAAATCTGATACGCACAAGCCAACATGGACATACAGACACATCAGAATGATGACACGACTTCAAGCGATTTCATCCAGAGGTTTATAAGATAGCCGTCCAGCCCTGTTCAGATTTTCACACTCGAGTTGATTGTAAAGTTGGCGCTTCAACTACTAATGATGCAAAATCTTGCCCAAGTCAAGCGTATATAGAAGAAAGGGCACTTGTAGATAGCAATCCGTCATGTCTAACATGGGTCCTGACGACAGAATTATCAATAGGACAATGTAGTGTAAGTTCCATCACGACTAGCGCGCACATACAAAATCCTCAGATTGTCCAGCTGATACAATTTGTGGCCGCAAAATAGGCTTGAAAATCATCTAAGAGAAACTTGCATAAATTGCACCAAGAAACCTTAAAACCCAAATTAAACAGCAATCTGAACCGAGTTTACCAGGTATCCCAATGATGTTTTGCGAGTGAGGATACCCCCAGATCCGTCGTGTCAACATGGGCCTGACTACAGCATTTTCAATAGGACAATGCAGTGTAAGGTTCATCACTGCTAGCGCGAACATACAAATCCTCACATTGTCCAGCTGATACAATTTGTGACAGCAAAATAGTCGGAAAATCATCTACGAAAAACATGCATAACCTGCAACAAGTATTACTAGTATGTCAAATAAAATAACAATACGAATGAGTACACCAGGTATCCCATTGATGGCTTGCGCGTGCGGATACCTCCATTGGGCAAGCTCAAGGATTAACTTACAAATTTGTAATTTAGGGTGCTCCACGGGCAGCACCTTAATTCTCGGAACAGCTAATGCAACATCTAAGCATATGTCAGAGAAGTTCAAATCTACTGGTTATCGCACGAGACAATATAACATACTTTCTACTCAAAAAGAGGGTTAGGATTGTTAGTGTTGGAAGAAAAAGCAGCAATTTCGAGTAAAGCTCGGAATTTTGTCAGTTCACCAGCAGTAAACATGGCCGGAAAGACCCAAACGAGACGCGAGAAACCAGCGAATACCCCAATGGTAGCGCTCTAATCCCTCAGAAGTTGATTTATAGATTTTATATATTAGTGTTTTTAATATTAGGTAAGAACGCAGATCGAAGCCGATAGTCAGCTTCGCACAAGCCGATAGTCAGCTTCGCACGAGGCTCAGGTGCTACTTAATATGGAGAAGGATGCTACTCCTTTAACACTAGTATTATTAGCCCATCAACGAACTGAAAAACCAGCGCATATCACAACGAGACCATGCCGGCAAGAGAACTGCATCCAAACCCCACCATCGATCATATTTATATCTATACATATAGGGAGTATATATATGACACAAACATGCATAAACATAGAAATGTGTATAGACACATTAAAGCCACGTGCGTATACACTTATGAAAATGCAGTATACTTGTATACATAATACTGCCTAAACATGCATATATATATATATATATATCATTTTGTAATACGCACGCAGGCAACTGCAATTGAATATCTACACGAAAATGTTTCTATGTAAACATGTACTAAATTACATATGTACATGTGAGTATATATATATATATATATATAAATATATACATGTATGAGGTGGATACAACCACACGCATAAAATATGTATAAACATGCACACTGAAAACATATACAAAAACCAAATGAATAGATGTATAAGTATAAATTCACGTATGCATATATGAGTGTACATTGTAGAATGAAAAGTGTGCTCATCTGTAATAAAGTACAAAAACAGAGGAAAATATATAGATGATTGGTGACGACAACCATATATACATATATATATATAATATACATACATCCCCATGTAAATATACACTTTATACCATACACGAACCGTTTTGACAATAAAACAGGCATGCAGTTCAGTATGCGTGCTAGTATCCACCAGGTACAAATACTTTTTCAATCGTATTTGCACAAACCTACAGTAAGTAGTGCAGACAGGTGACTAAATTTGACAAAGCATCATCGCAGACAAGGATAGCAGTAGATTGTGCGCACTTTTCGTTATTGTAAAATATGGAAAATGAGGACCCCAAACAGAACCAGCGTTGCACATCGAACACCAACCTTTCGTTCGAGAGCACTTTTGCCTCGTAACTCAAACCAGCGTTCTAGAATAATAGAAAGTGAAGGTGTGTCGCACAGGCAGGGTAGGGCTCGATCAAAGTACGACTTATATAGCACGCGAACACAAGAAAATTCTGCCACTCCCGCATCCCCCACTTCTCCTTTTCTTTGCAGAATCGAGCCACCCGTATATATACATATATATATATATATATATATATGTATATAATGTATATACATATATGTATATGTATATGTATATGTATATGTATGTATATATATATGTATATATATATATGCGTATACGTATATGTATATGTATATGTATTTG